TGTGTATTTTAGAGGGTGGATTCGAGGATTACAGGAGACGACATATGCACAGCACCCTTCGAGGATTACAGGAGACAACATATGCACAGCACCCCGGACGGAGCCAGGCCCAGAGGAGCTGCTCGGGGAATAGTGAGTCCCTTGCCTCCCTCTCGCTGGCATTCTGCCCCCTCCCAGCACTGGCACTGCCTACCAAGTTCAAAAGCTGCTGCTGCAGCTGTCATGTCTGAAAATACACTCCCTGGCTGCTGTTGTCTTGTCATCCACGTCTTCCCCAAAGCCTTAAGTATTCCTAAATCCGGGTTTAAAAAGACAAAAAACCCAAGCTGACCTATCCACACTGCTAGTTGGCAAGTGTCCCAGAGGATCGTACTCTGCCAGTCACTGAGCTTGACATTCAGTTCCCTCCGTCAAATTCACTCACATCCGACAAGATCAATGAGGGAAACAGGCAGCGATGATCAAAAGGGCCAACAAAGGCTCTTGGGGTAACTCTCCCAGCAGGATTTCGCGCCACACAAAAGTGCATGCAGGGGGTGTTCCATAAAAGCGCCTGCACTCACAGGCATCCCTCATGGCCAGAGACACCAAAAAAGCGTTGCCGTGACAACGCTGCTGCAAATGTTATATATAAATGTGTGTGTGTACACAGCCACACACAGACGCACAGAAATAAACTCTTGGCACATTTTTTTTTCCTGTTCCAAACATGAAACAACCTGCGAGGATTGATTGCTGGGAGACAGGACAAAGAAGGCTTTGTACAAACCCGCTTGCAATGGCCTGGCTCTCGGTGATGTACACCTGTTTCGTTTCCTGCACCTGGAATACTATAGTAGATAGTCCATAAATAATCCTTGGACGAATGAATAAGCGATAGATAAATGGAAGAAAGAAAGGAAGGGGGGAGGTAAGAGGGAGGAAGATAGAAGCAGCCTGGAGTGTCAGCGCTGGAATGGCTTCTCCTGAGGATTCAATGTAATCTAACCCCCTAGTTTTCTGTTGGAGAACCTGGGGCTCAGAAAGGGGAAGGAATCTTGCCAAAAGTTGCAAAAAGAACTACTAGCAGAGCCCCAGGCCTGGAGATCCATTAAGTCAGCACTGAACGAATGTGAGTCACATTTCTGAATAACAAACACTGGTTAAGCAATTATGTTGTGCCAGCAACTGTAAGTACTTACGGACATTCTCTTAATTAGCAGCCATGCAAGCGGTGTGTTAGGATTTTCATTGAACAGAGATGGACACTGGGGCTGGGGATTGAACCTGGGTCTCGAACACCAAGTTCTGAGCCCCTGCGATACACAGCCTCTCACTGAAATGAGGCCCTAGGGCCTACCGTGTGCTGTTTCCTTCAGTGGCAGGAACTGTTAGCTCCATCTTGCAGAGATTGGGGGCTCAAACAGGTGAAGAAACTCAGCTCAAGGGGACTTCCTCAGTGACACTTTTGCATTCCCCTGCACCTCTGGGTGTAGAATGCTCTTTACAACTGCAATTTCTTGACCTTCAATGCTATATTCCCGGCACCTAGCACAATTCCTAACACATAGTAGGTTCTCAACATTTTTCTTTCTTTTCTTCCTCTTTCTTTCTTTCTCTTTCTTTCTTTTCTTTCTTTCTTTCTTTCTTTCTTTCTTTCTTTCTTTCTTTCTTTCTTTCTTTCTTTCTTTCTTCTTTCTTTCTAATATATTTTCATTGAGGAAAGGAGAGGGAGAGAGAGAAACATCAATGATGAGAATCACCTGCCTCCTGCACACCCCACCATGGGGATCAAGTCTGTAACCCCTAACCAGGAATTGAACTGTGACTTCATGGTTCATAGGTCGATGCTTAATCACCGAGCCATGCCGGCTGGGCTTGGTTTGTTTTCAATGTCCAATTATATTGCATTTGGTAAGAGAGCATTAATTTCACATTGTGGAACCTGCTGATGTTTTCTTTGTGTCCGGATATATTATCAATTTTTGTCTTGCAGTTTTCTTCAGCTTTATGCTTGATTTTTTGAGTGAGAATTTTTATCAGTTGAGATGCTCTGAATTGCATTTCTTTTCTTTTCTAACAGAAGTTCTGAATGCATGTGATCTGCCTTTTCTGGTTCCGTTCATTCACGAACAAGACTCCCCACACAAGTGCGCCCTCTGCTGTCTGTCCGGCTGCTCCTTAGGATTCTTAATTTTCCCTTCTTTCCCTTCACTACCACATCTACAAGGGCATCATCTTTACACTATAAAACTGGTTCTCCCCAAGAATCAGTGCTTCTCCAAGGCTGCCCTGTCCACACTTTCCAGACTCTTCCCTGTTGCTGGTGCTGCTGGTAGCCGCTATGCCCCACCGGTGTTCACCATTTCAGCCTTCGGTGCTGGACAGCCTGAGCATGATTTCGTCCAAGCCCATCTGAGTTCGCCACGCCCCTTTACCAGTTTCACAATGTCTCTTTTTAAAAAAATTTTTTTTTAAAATTTATTTCAGAGAGGAAGGGAGAGGGAGAAACATCAAACAATGATAAGAGAGAATCACTGATTGGCTGCCTCCTGCACGCCCCCCACTGGGGATCGAGCCCACAACCCAGGCATGTGCCCGTACTGGGAATCAAGCCATGAATGTAAATCAACAAAGAGAGGAAATAAAACCACACATGAACCTAAAATTACCTGAAGTAGAGAAATAACTCAAATTCCAACAGAACTCCCCGTGTGTGCGGCTGCAAGCCTGTGTGCTCGGACAGTGATGGAGAGGAGGCATAAGAGAAAAGGGGGGAGGGGGCGAGTCAAGAAATTAGGAAGACAGCATTTTCCTCCCAGCATGGAGGTCCTGGTAAATGCCCTTTAAATGCAGTAAACTATCAAATTAGTCCTGGCAGTGGGTGACAGTGCCCGGTTTCCTACATCCTCAGCAACACAATATCAAACTTCATTATTTTTGCCAATCTGATGGGTGAAAAATATTACGTCATTGTGGTTTTAAATGTGTTGCTCATATTATTAGTGAGATCATCTTTTTGAAAAAAATTTTTTTTGTCTTTTTGTATTTCTTCTTCTCTGGATAGTCTGTTTAAATATTTTGCTCTCTCTTTCACCTTTTTTTTTTTTTTTTCAGTATATCCTGGATCGTTAGCTCTGTATGTTGCATTTCATTTTTCTCTCTTCTGTCACTTGTCTTTTAATTTTACTTACTATACCCTCTTTACTAAAGAATTGTTTTTTAGATTCTTTTCAAAATTTCATTTTCAATAACATACAATTTTATTAGTTTTAGCTATACAACATAGTGATTACATTTATATACCTTATGATCACCGCGATAAGTCTAGTACCCAGCTGACACCGTACAGTTATTACAATATTATTGACTATATTCCTTATGCTGTACTTTACATCTTCCTGTTTTTGTAACTGGCAATTTGTACTTCTTAATCCCTTTATCTTTTCCACCCAGCTCCCCAAGTCCCCTCCTATCTGAGGAGCATCAATTTGTTGCTGTAGCCTTGCAGTATTGTTTGATGTCAGGTAGCATACCTCCAACTTTGTTCGTTTTCAATATCGCTTTGGGTATTTGGGGTCTTCTGCAGTTCCGTATAAATTTTAGCATTATTTGTTTTAGATCTGTGAAAAATGCCATTGGTATTTTGCTGGGGATTGCACTGAATCTGTAGATAGCTTTGGGTAGAAAAGCATTAAGTTTTGATGTTGTGAAACGAGTTAAATTTTCACATTTTTTTCTTTCATTTATGTTTTGTTAAAGACAGGTTTCCCTACTCATAGTTTTAACACGTTCTGTGATACAGGTTACAGTTATTCATATGGAAAATAATACAATAATTAATAAATAACACAAGAATTTCATACACCCAGAACTGTAACCTACTTTTGCCTCACCCTGTATGTTATGAAACTTCTATGGTTTTCACATGGTTAGTTCCCTAGGATATGTGGAATTTATTGTTGTGAACGTGTGTGAGAACTGTGTGAGGGGGGCAGGATCTAGATTTTTTTTTTTTCCCACGTGGATATCCTAACACCACTCATTTAATGGTTCTTCATTTCTCAGCCGGTTCGAAGGGCTCCCTTGATCCTACACGAAGCCCCCCCCACAGAGAATGGTTTCTGGTTCTCTGATCTCTGCCAGCTGTTCAGTGTCTCTGTTCGCACGCCAGCTCCAGCTACACTGTTCCCTGCAGCCTTATGACACAGTTTGAAAAGGCCAGCTCCCTCATTGTTCTTTCTCAAAATTGTCTCGGCCGGCCATGGCGCATTTTCTCTCCCAGGTGCATCAGCTTTTCGAGTCCCGTGAAAAATTAGCTCAGAATGTTGGCTGAGAGGACACGGAAATGACAGATTAATTTGGGGGAATCTTTTGTGATACGGAGCCTTTCCGTCCATGATCGGGGTATTCCTCTGCATTTATTCAGGTTCTCTTTAACGTTCTCCAGTCAAGTCTTACAGTTTTCTTTGTAAAGGTCTCACCCATTTCTCAATGGAGTAATTATTGTACCAAATTCTTTCACGTTTAGAACCTTCTCTCATCCCTCCCTCCTTCCGCGGCTCCTCGACCAACAGGGCCTCTGCTGCCCCCTTTACCCACAGGTACTATGTCAGGTCGCACACCGTTCCCATCTTACAAGTGTTTCCAATTCCTAACTGCAGGGTAAACCCCTCAGGCCAGGCCGGGGACATGCATGAGCTGTGGGAAGGTCTATTGCTACCAAGGGAGGAGGAGGAGGGGGGAGGGGGTGGGGGCTCCACAGCAGGGAAGCGGAAGGAGTCCGTTCACTTGGTCTTTGGGAAACAGGAAAAAAAATGCCGCCCTCTTGGACCTTCAGCCTGTGTGGCAACCTGGCAGGTGTCAGGATCGGAGGCTTCTGCTCTGGGAGGAGGTGCAGCTGGCCTTGATGACACTGCGGGGTAGGGGGGGACGGGGGACGGGGGCGGGGCGGGGAGGGTGCCCTCCCATAGCCCACAGATCACACACCACCCTGAGAAGGCACACACTCAGTCACGAGGCCCACGGTACAAGTACTTTATTTCAATTACAATAGTGCCACACCAGAACTACAGTAGCACAAGACGTTAAGAATACAAAAACCAGATTCCCAGCCCCAAACCCACGTCCATGTACCTGCAGACAAGCCAGCCCAAGGGCTCCTTGGGCTTCAGGGCCAGGGCCTCCTCCCTGTGCCCTCCCCGTCCCCCCCCTGCCACTCACAGTGCACCAGGGAGCAACGGGTGCAAATGACAGTCCCTCTGGCTGGACCCTCGGCTCTAGGACACCTGCTTCGGCTGGGAGGTCCCAGTCCTTGGTGCTGACAGACATTGGACGCACAGGGAAGGCCGGAGGGCAGGGGGGCACCAGGACTGGGACAGCCTGCTCCAGCTCCTGTCTGGCTCCCGGGCCTGCTGCTTGTGGGGCTAGAAACCAGCTCTGGGGCTGATCTGAAGTGGGCGAGGCAGTGGCTGAGCTGTGGCTTCTGCTGGGCAAGGACGACCTGGCCTCCTGGGCCAGGCGAGCGCCTGCAGGAGCCGGACCTGCCAGGCGGCCTGGGCTGTGGAGATGGGAGAACCGTGGCGGGCACCGGCTGCTCCTGCCTCCGTCACAGGCACTGCTTCCCCAGAGGGCCAGAGTGGGGCTCCCATGAGCTCCACCTGGGGGGCTTCTGAACTGTGGCCTCAGGGAGGGGTCAGTATTCCTGCTCCCCGACACCACAGGCCAGCCTGACCGGGTTGGGGGACGCCCCCCAGCACAGCCTCCCACGGCTGAAAGCATTTCCCAAGAAGGAGTCCAAATAGCTACAAGGATTGTCTGGATTCAGCCCAAGGGGCTGAGGGTGCGACGGCGCTCGGGGCAAGTTCAGGGGTTCCTGTAGGCAGAGCTCTGTGCTGGTGTGAAGCAGCTCTGTGGGCACTGGGAGGAGAGGGTATGGCCTTGTGTTCCAGTCAGGACACTTGGGGGCTTCACTGAGGAGGCCAAGAGACCCTGGGGGTGAGGGCTGCCTCCTTGGGGTGTGCCCAGGGTCACAGCCTCCGATAAGGCACCAGAGAACAGAGGGCGGGGGCTGCGGCCGGGGTGGAGGACGGAGCTCAGGGGAGGGTCTGGGGCCTGGGGGAGAGAAGGGCTATTTCCTTTTCCTCCTCTGGGGTGGGGATGCTGGAGAGGCCACGGGCCCCAGGACAGACATGGGGGGCGGGAAAGAGGGACAAGAAGAGCACATCTGATGGGGGGCGGGGGGTCACAGGGTCCTGTGGTCCAGATCCAGGTGGTTGGGCACCGGACTGGGTTTGAGGGCCCTGCCCCGGCCTCATGCTGCTACAGCTGTCAGTCCCCTGCTGCGACTTGGGGATCAGACCTTCCTCGCTGGGGTTCCCGCTGTTGGGCTCTGGGGACAGAGTCAGGTACGCTAAGAGGGGTGGTGCCCATGAGCTGGGCCCCCCCAAGCTGGCCCCTTCCTGGCTGGCCCCCTGGCCTCTCCTCCCTACACCAGGCGATGGAGGCGGAAACGGTATGTTCCAAGGGCTGAAGACCCGCTCAAGGGCCCGGGTGTTGCTGCCTGGGCTCAGCCTGGCGGCCAGTGAGGCGGAGAGAGGGGTAGATCAGTGGGGCTTCCCTTGTCCACAGGTTATTTAGAAAAAACAGAACATAATAAATATACCAATCCTTTCCTTAAAAAAAAGAAAATGTGTTTTAGATGCATTATTTCCCTGAAGATTTCCAGTGTATTCCACAATGCTTAAAAAATAGTTTCCCCAAAAATATATATTTAAAGCATTTGACAAAGTGGTATATCTGGCGCTGGATGTGGGCGTGGGGCTGTGCCCACTGCCCCTGTCAGCAGGGGGCCCAGGCCTGGCCAGCCACCAGCCTGACACCCAAATGCCCTTCAGAGCTGGTGCAGGCGCTGGGGTGGCAGGGTCTCCGCAGGGGGTCGAATCTCGGGTTATGCCGAGAACCCACATCGCAGGCTCAGGTCCGGCTGAAAACCCTCCAGTGCGGGGGCGGGGGCCCTGGCGGCCGGGGGGGCTGGGTGGCACCCTGGGCACTGGACGGAGGGGGCCAGCCTGCCGGGGCTCCCCCCTGCGGGTCATCCTCAGCCCCCGCCCCGCGCCGCCTCCATCGTGGCTCGCGGTCTTCGCCCCTCACCAGACTTCACACTTGTGACGCGGGTTCATGGGCGAGCCCAGCGGGCAGTGGAAGTGTTCCGAGAATTCCTTGGAGTTGGAGACGGAGCCGATGACCCGGAAGCGGGAGGGGCTGTGGGGATCCGTGATGAGGCCCTCGTGGGTGCTCTCGGGCGTGCGGACGGAGCACCAGACCTTTGTGAGGGCAACAGGGGAGAGGCCGGGTCACTGCGGGGTCCGGAGGCGGCCGGGCTGCCCCGTGTACAACAGCAGAGAAACGAGCCCCCACCTGGTTCTAGGAGCCCCGGGGGTCAGCCAAGTGGCCGAGAAAGAAACAACGGACTGGTGTGTCCCCCGTCCCAGCATCCTCTACTGCAGTGTCTCCTACTGTGCTCCTGTCCGTGCCGGGCGTCTGTGCTAGATTTCATCTGAACAGAGGATTCGGCCCCCAAACCATTTGGAAAACCTCCGATTGAGTCCACGTCACTCACTTCCCGGACAGAACAACTGCCTAATGGCCTGGCAGCTCTGAGTGCCAACGGAAGGCTCTACCCTGAGTGCCGGCTCCAGGACAACCGGGGGCATACTGAGTTTAAGAAACTTCTGGGGGTTAGAGAGCCACCAAAGGACTTGTACGCATGCAACATTAGCATAACCAATGGACACAGACACTGGGGTGGTGGGGGCTTGCCCGGGGTGGGAATGGCTGGGTGGGGGGGTGGGGGTGTCAATTGGGGGAAAAGGAGACATATGTAAAACTTTAGACAATAATAAAAAAAGAAACTTCTGGAACCCAGAACCAGAAGGACCCTTAGTGGTCACCTTGTCCTCTCATCTACCGGAGGCGGCAGTGCCTTTGCTAGCACGCCTGGCCCGTCCCTGAATCTCTCCAGTGAGAGGAAGCTTGCCTCTCACCGGGCAGCTACCCCTGGGCGGTCCAGTGGACTTGGGGGGGTGGTTCTCCATGTGGGGGAGCTTGCCTTTGGCTCTCAGAGCCCCCGGAACGGTGAGACGCCCGAGTTTGGCTTTTTCCTAATGAACTCACCTGCGCGAACCCCAGGAAGAAGAGCTGGTCGTTGGTGAGCCCCAGGGTGGGCAGCGTCTGCTCGGGCCCGTTCCGCTTCACCCAGTTCTTGTAGGCCTGGGAGGAGAGGACACAGTTCGGGCTCCCAGGACACGAGCAGGCGGGGCGGCGGCGGAGGGGCCAGCGCGGGAGATCTCGGAAGTTCTACCCCCGACAGCTGGTTTCTGGGGTCTGGCGTCAGCTCTGACGGCCCAGCTCAGCCCAGGGGTGCCGGCTCCTTTCCCTGCGCTCATTCTGAGGCGAGTGCATCCAACCCCGTAGCTTTAAATACCATCTCCATGCCAAAGGCCCTCGGGTGCATCCTTGGTATATTCAACTCCCCAGCTGGACCTCCAACATGCATCTCCAACTTAACATGGCACAGACAGAAGGAAAGGGTACACACACACACACACACACACACACGCACACGCACACACACGAACACACACACACACACACACACGCACACGCACACACTGAGTGGTATTGAGGCCCAAACCCCAGAACTCCTCTGATTCTTCTTTCAACCAAAGCAAACACCCCAAATCTGACCACTTCTCACACTTCCCATTGCTCCATCCCATTTCGGGCCTGGACAACCTCACACAGCTTTCTAACTAGTCTCCTTGACTCAAACCAGTCCAATTCCAACCCCCTCCTGACACAGCAACGTAAGCCATCCTTATGAAGCAGGAGTGGGCAGACTTTTTCTTCGAAGGGCCAGAGAGTGAACAGTTTCAGCTCTGGAGGCTGACAGGTCTGTGTTGCCACCCCTCAGTCCTGCCCCCATAGCATGAAAGCGGCCACAGACAACGTGGAGATGGATGGGCCTGGCTGCAGCCCCCCAATATTTACAAAACCCGGCTGAGGGCTGCGTGTGGCCGACAGAGGATGAATGGGCCCATGTCATTCCTCTATTTAAAAACCAGGCAGCGACTCCCACTGTAACCAGAATAACACCCCAGCTCCCTGCTCTGGGCCCAGCTGCTCCTCCAACCTCACCTCCCCCACTCGCCCTGCTCTCCCTCCACCCCCCTCCCTTCCTGCCCTTGAACTTGCCTGGCTGTGTGTCCATCTCGTGGGCCCTGCACTCACTCTTCTTTCCCTGCCTCTTCCTCACCATGTAGGCCTCAATTCAAATCCCAGCCCCTGACCACGCTCCCCACTGTCCTTGATCACGGAGCTCTACTTGAAATGATCTTATTTGTTCCGGTGGGTATGGCCTTTCTGTCCCTTCCCTGTCCCACTAAAATTGTGACTTTATGAGAGCGGAATTCCTACGTTTTGCCACAGAAACTCCAGTGTCCACAACAGCGCACGGTGGGGGAAGGCCTGCGATACATAGTCACTGACCAGTGCACGTCACACAAGTCACCAAATGTTTCTAGGCTGTTTCCTCAACTGAAAAATGGGGGCCCTGAGACCTACCTGTAAAGGTGTGGGGGTACACGGTAAGGCCTAAGTAAACGGCACCTCTTAGTATTTCTGCTCTTACTACCTGGTGAGGAGGAAGCGGTCGCTCTCTGATAAACGCCTCCTCCTTTTCTCCCATGGCCTGTGTCTCTCCCACCCAATCAGCTTCCATTCCTGAACGACACTCTGGATCAGGCCTGTCCCAGCTGTCACATGTCACACCCCAGGGACGCAGGGTTCAGCCAAGCACCCCGAGGCTCGGAGGTCAGGCGACTTACTCCAGAACCAGGACTCAGCCCGGAACCGGCTCCATGGCCAGGGTCCCTGCCCTCCCTTCTGGGCCCGCTGCTGCCTGAATTAGTGGCGGCCTCCCCTGCGTAGGGAACAGGCAGGACTTCGTGGGTCCAGCCAAGCCCTTTCCTGACTCTCTCTGTCGGGCTGGACTCAAGAGCAGAAACCCTAACGTGTGCCCAGCTCTGTGCCAGGTGCCTTCACGGACACCCTCTCCATGAGTCCTCACCACACCCATTTCACAGATGAGGGAATGGAGGCTCACAGAGCGGCTGCAGCTGGCCCCAGCTCGCCTGCAATGACCCAGACCTGGGCGGGCCCGGGCCGTGTGTGGGGAGCGGCCCTCTTACCCGATAGGCCGCCTTGAGGCCCCCGTTATCTGCGATGTTCTCCCCGAGGGTGTGCCGGCCGTTCACCGGCTCCCCGTTCACGCTGTAGTTGCCGTACTGCTGCACCATGCACTCGGTCTGCCGCTTGAAAGCCTCCACCGACGAGTTCTTCCACCAGGGCCGGAGGTTCCCGTCCTTGTCATACTCCCGTCCTGCAGGGGCGGAGGGAAGCGCCAGGTCAAGGGGAGGCGGCGGCGGACTGGGACCTGTTGCTGCTGCTGCACTTCTCCTCCCATCTGCCACCCGCGCTGGGGAGATGTGCCGCTGAGCCTAAAGAGCCGGGCGAATGAACCAATCTGGGTGGGGGCGGGCGATGGAGGAAGGTGATCCAGGCAAAGGACCAGCATGTCCAAAGTTTCAGTGGGCTCGCTGTCAAGGCCGCTGACCCTGAGCCACAGCCTCCAAGGCCCTGCCTCCTCCTTCTCGGCCTTGGGGTCCCCCAGGCAAGAGGCAACGAGGAGGATTCTGAATGTTAGTTGGTGAGGAGGGAAACCTCAACTCCTCTGGCTGTGGTCAGACCAGAGAAGTCTCTGGAACAGTGGACAAGTGTACGCTCCCACTCACTACCCACCCCCGAGGACCGGACAGCTCCCAGGAGCAGGGTGCTCCATGGTGCGCCTGACACAGTCCTCACAGTCACCATCATGCCCATTTTACAGACAAGAAAACAGAGGCCCGGAGAAACGATGGGACTTGCTACAGTTCATGCAATCGGCAGGAGGATGTGAAGCTAGATCCTCTGTCTCACGGCTAAGTAAGACCCTTAGAAGTGAAGGAAGCAAAAGCAGAATCAGTGGGGCCAGGAAGCTAAAGGGAACCCCAAGGAACTCATACCTTGATCATCAAAAGCATGAGTCAGCTCGTGGCCCACGACGACACCGATGCCACCAAAATTTAAGGCCCTGGAGGGGAGGACACGAAGGTGAGAGTGATGCCCTGGGGGATGGGGGGGGTTCCACCGCTTCCCAGGCCTGGAGACACAGCAGAGGCCCACAGTGCTCTGCGGGGACATGGCCGCAGCCTGAGCCTGACGCCAGTCAGAAGCTGCACAGAACTGTCCTCCTTGGTCATTGCCAAAGAGTTAGGAGTGAGTAACCAGCTCTATAGATGAGCTAACCAACCTCTTTGGTCATCGCCAAAGAGTTAGGCGTGAGTAACCAACTCTATAGATGAGCTAACCAAGGCCTGGGACAGTGCCCTCAGCTTCCCAGCCCCGGCTGTGACTGCCCTAAAACACCGTCAGAGGCACATCCCCCCGAGTTCCCGCTGTGCAGGGGCTTCCAGAACCAGGAGACCCTGGAGGGAAGCCCAGGGAGTGGGTATGTTCTCTCTGAAACTTCTCTGAATGTCCCAAGCTCCCTGGTGAGTGGGGCAAAGGGCGCTCAGTGAGACAGGTTTGATTGTGCGGTCAGCTGTGGGCCACGGGGCTGGGCTGGAGCATCGTTCATACATGGGTGAAGAGCGGGTGTAGAACGGGGCCTGCAGGATTCCGGCCGGAAACACAATCTCGTTCTTGGTGGGCGAGTAGTAAGCATTCACCATGGGAGGGGTCATGCTCCACCTGCAAGCAACATGCACATGGAAAGTCAGGACAGCCTGGGGGAGGGCACGGGGGCCGGGGGGGGGGGGCCACCTGGAGGATATCAAGAGCTGTGAAAAGGTGGATTCCCTTGACCCCAGACCCAAGTGCACACAAGTACAGGGACATCCATAGCAACACTGGTTTTGAGAGGGAAACCAGAAAACACCTAAATGTCTATAAATAAGGGATCAGCTAAATCTAACATCACACCACACAATGCAACACCGAGGCTCTTACAAAGAACATGAGCCTGGCCGGTGTGGCTCAGTGGTTGAGCATTACCTATGAACCAGAAGGTCACAGTTCCATTCCTGGTCAGGGCGCATGTCCGGGTTGCGGGTTCAAACCCCAGTGTGGGATGTGCAGGAGGCAGCCGATCAGTGAGTCTCTCTCATCATCGATGTTTCTATCTCTCTTTCCCTCTCCCTTCCTCTCTAAAGTTAATAAAAAATATATTTTTAAAAAAGAACATCTTGCCCTAGTTGGTTTGGCTCAGTGGATAGAGCATCGGCCTGTGGACTGAAGGATTCCAGGTTCGGTTCCGGTCAAGGCATGTACCTTGGTTGCGGGCACATCCCCGGTGGGAGGTGTGTGGGAGGCAGCTGATCGATGTTTCTCTCTCATAGATGTTTCTGACACTCTATCCCTCTCCCTTCCTCTCTGTAAAAAATCAATAAAAAAGAAAAGAAAAAAAAAAGAACATCTTTAGTGATGTAGCCTCATCATTAACTTAATTAAAGCCAGACCCTTGAGTACGAGACCTTCAATACTATGTGACCACATCTGTACCCGAGAGGACAACTGACAAACTGACATTTCAGACGTGGGTACTTGGCAGACGTTTTCTTGAAACTGAATAAAATGAGCTTGTCACCTCGAGGAAAATAATTGACACCATTTGACGCCAACAATAAAGATTCAAGGTTAAAATATAACTAGATGTTTCAAGCAAAAATTAAATCCTAGAAAGCTTGTCTCCGTCAGCTTCCCGACACTTAAAGGCTTTTCTCGGCAGCTCAGTGGTGTTACTATCAGATGTGGGTTTTTTTTGGATATTGTGTCATCAAAATGTCACTATTTGGAAGATATATGAAACCCAGCGAGTCACTGTTTTCCAAACGACCAACGTGTGATGTTAAAAATCACGGGTGGGTAAAAGACGGATCAAAGTGCCAGACAGACGGATGGCTTTTGGTATAATGAAGTCTGAAAAGTTCATGGAGAGAGTTTCTGATTCCACAGGGCAATTAGCCTTTAAGAAATTACCACTTCATGAATCTTGGTTTAATGTCAATAAAGAATGTGCCCTCGTCTGAGGAAAGACTATTAAAATACCCTCCTTCCAACTACATATCTGTGTGAGACTAGATTTGCTTTATATAGTTCAAAAAACAATGCACTGTTATAGGTTGAATATAATATAGAGTTAGATTGTATAACCAGATTGTATGTAATAAAGGAACAGATATGAGAATCCAGATGTCTATGATTAAGCCAGAGACATTAAGAAATTTGAAAAAGTAAAACAATACCTCTTTTTTCCTCCTTAAACTTATAAAAGTTCCCCCCCCCATAAAATGTGCATAAAAACTGATGTAACTTTTATAAAAAAGCTCTCTGGGTCCAATAGTTTTGTAAGAGTGTAGAAGGGACCCCGATGGCATCTGGTACTGAAACATTCGGCCCCTGGATGATGTTTCTGGTGTGAGGGGAGGGGACCATGAGGAGCAGAGCGAGACAGGAAGGACATTCTCTCTAAGGGCCTAGACGGTCACTCTGTCCCTCCAGGTGAGCCCCACGGAGATGTGTTAAGGGGCACCCCATGAAAGGAGACGGAGAACCTGAAAACATCATATTTGTATTCAAATAATCATGAATACATAAGTGGGGTAGGAAATGACACTTCAGTGAAAAACTGTAGCCTAATTATAAAAGACCAGATAAATTCAGGACCTTGTGGCAGTACCTGTGCCGTATTCTGGAGAGAAAAGACTGCCTTCTTGTGCATTTTAGAGGTACCCTGGTTGTAGACGGGAAACGTAGAAGAAACAGATGCTCAAAGCCCTGCTGTCCACGAGGGGGCACCAGAGGCACAGCGAGGTTGCTTTTGCCTCCTGGTAAGCTTTATTCTGCAGAATGTGGTAGGCACAGCGGGAGGTTAGACTGAGAACTAGCACTGGGCTGACTGCATCTGAGTTTTCTGAGGAGACTATTAAAACAACAACAGATACTGGGTCTCACTCCAGGTGACGTTGATTTAAGAACGTCTGGGGGACAGGCCAGAAAGCTGTCTTTTATTTTATGCTTTTACTTTTTAACGTTTTAAGAGAGAAATAGAAGGGAGAGAAGAAGCGGGGTGGGGGTGGGTGGGGAGAAACATCAAATATGAGAGACACATCAATTGGTTAACTCCCGCATGCACCCTAACCAGGGCCAGGGATTGAACCTGCAACTGAGGTATGTGCCCTTGACCGGGACTCGAACCCGAAACCCTTTGGTCCATGGGCCGAGGCTCTAACCGGCCAGGGCAGAAAGCTGTTTTTTTAAAAAAAAACTCCCCAGAGACTCCTGATGTGCAGTAAGGTTTGGGAACCACAGCTGTGGGGGCCTATCTGGAACCTTCCCCAGCCTCTGGGGAACTGCCCTGGAATCCGCCGCTCCTGCTGGTGGGGAATTGGAGGAAATGAGCCCTAGCGGAGGTCCTCACACTCGGGGGTCACACCAGCTCCGAGTGCAGAAGTGGTGCTGGGATGTGATGCCAGGGCTGCTCCACTCGAGGCCGGGCTACTCTGCCAACAGCCTGGCGCCGGGGACACACAGACCGGCCGAGCCCAGCTCCTGCCTCGGAACACTTCCTTCATCCTTGGGCTCCTCGTCCGGAAAGTGGACGAGGGCCCTTAGGACAGTTATATCGGCACCTGGTCCACAAAGGTGAGCTCAGCCCCGAGCACCCCACGTGCCAGGAGCCGGGAGCCGGGAGCCGGGAGCCAGCACCTCCCCCGAGGCCGGACTCACTGGTCTCTGTTGGGAGCTTTCCTGAGCTGGTCGGCAGTGACCCTCCAGGAGAAGTTGGAAAAGCGCATGGCGTTCTCGAAGTAGAGGTCCGGGACTGCTGTGTACTGGACGAGAGCAAAGCCACAGGATCAGAGAGGCCAGGCCGAGGCGCTCGGACCCTGGAGCCCAGACCTCTTCTGAAACCGAGGAAACAGAGCCCGCGAGGTTAAGGGATTGGTCTGCAGGTCCGAGGCCAGAACGGGCCTCCCTCGGCCCTCCCCCTGCTGGGGCCTGGCACCCTCTCCCCACAAGGACACAGAGAGCCTGCCCAGGGCCCCTGACACCAGCAGACACCCCGTGGCGTCGCAGGTCCTGCAGCAGCGCGCTGGCGGCAGAGGAGGCTGCGCTGACGGGCACGTTTGTGTCTGTGCTTTTCCTGTTAGACACTGGCCACATGTGGCCGCCGAGCGTTTCAGATGTGGCTAGAGTGGCTTTTAAAGTTAATCTAAACTTTTTTCCTTTTTAAATTTAATTTACTTTTAAGTAATTAGGCTTTGATGAATTCGCCATCTATGGCTAGCGGCCACCATACCGGACAGCAGAGATCTGATAAATCAGGCTAGATCCAGCTCTGAAGCGGCAGGGACAGGCATTGCTGGGCATCTTCCTCCCCCTCGGCCCGGCCTTCCTGCTCCTTCCAGGCTGGGGTTCTCCCTCAGATCCCTCCGGCTTTCTAGCTTTACAACGAGGATCTAGGGAAACGCTGGGCCCTGCGCAGGCCTCCGTCCTCATGTCCCGGAGCCCCTGTCTCCTGTCCGGACACGCTGGAGCACCTTAAGTTACTCTCAGGGAAAAAGGCTGCAAAAGGCACCTCGCATTCTCAGAAATGATCTCAATATCCTTGGGTTTTAAATATGACCGTGATGAGACGTTATTATAATTGCAAAAGTGCCTGAGTTTACGAGTTTCAATCACAAAGAACATAAAAATGGACCTTTCAGGGCAGAAGCACGATGCGTTGAAAGGAGCAATTTAAAAGTTCTAACTACCAGGGACACGCCAGCTACCTCTGTTGCCTAAATGAAGCGTGAGCGTGCCTTTGAGATTTATGCTTCCATTTTCCTGTTAGCATTTCAAGGGCCAAACCAGGGGTCAGGTTTCTCTGGGAAGGTGGGCAGGATCCCGGGACAGGAGGTAACTGGAGCAGGGAAGGAGGAGGCAGTATGAGGGGTTCACGCTGTACTCCTCTGATGTTTTAGGGGGTGTGCCAATGCTCTCTGCACCTTCTAGGGCAGTGGTCGGCAAACCGCGGCTCGGCAAACCGCGGCTCGCGAGCCACATGCGGCTCTTTGGCCCCTTGAGTGCGGCTCTTCCACAAAATACCGGCTCTTCCACAAAATACCGACTTCTGTGCATGGGCCACTAAGTTTCAATCGCACTGTACGTGCGCGCCCGCACATGGTATTTTGTGAAAGAGCCACACTCAAGGGGCCAAAGAGCCGCACGTGGCTCGAGAGCCGCGGTTTGCCGACCACGGTTCTAGGGTGTTTCCTCCCACTGTCAGCGGGGCACGTGGCACTGTTCTGGCACTGACTGCGGGGCACTGGCTGCTGGTGGCTCCAGGGAAGGGGGCCTCGGGCTGGCCCAGGAGGCCAAGGAGCAGGGAGCAGCTTCCTGGTGCCTGGCGCATCCCCAAAGCCCACAGCTCACCATCTCAAGATGTCTTCACAGTCCCGGTGCCTCCAGCGCCCCATCCGGACCCAGCCTGCCTCTCCCCTTCCCCAAACGGGGGCCCCGGGGGCAGCTGGGAATGCAAGGGGGCAGGCAGGAACCACTCACATCGTTGAACACTTTGTCGAGCTCCTTGGGGTCCATGATGAAGTTGGGGTAGCCTATCATGTTGTAGATGGCGTCCGCCTGGACGGGGAAGACACGGAGAATGGCAGTGAGTGCCCAGCCATGCTCCGTGGGGGCCGGGCTCAGGGTCTGGGCCAAGGGGACACAGGGCCAGGCGCCTCCCACCCCAGGGCTTCCTCATCTCTTTCTGGAAAGACTCCTCTCCTGTCTAAATTCCACTTATCTCTTAGGTATCACTTAAATGTCACTTCTTAAGGAAAGCCTTCCCTGGTCCTCACCCACCGACCACCTCAGGCCCTCCACTCTCCATTAGACACACGGCATCTCCCTGCACGGCTCCCTCGCACCCTCAGCATGTCATTTCCACACAGCCGTGAACGCCATCGCGGGTTCAGGCTGCCCCTCCATCCCGCCGGACTGTCCCCCCGAAGGCGGGGCAGCATCCGGATGCGGTCTCTCCTTCCCCCACCCCCGCCAAGCTCCTGGCGGGCCTCGCCTTCTCCTTGGCTGATCTCCGCGTGTCTTCATCCATCCACTTGAGGGTGCTCAGGCTCTCCTCAAACGCCTTCTTGATCTCCAGGATGATCTCGCTGGCCTGCGGAGACAGAGCTGAGCCTGAAGGGCGGGCCGTGGATGGGTACCCCACGAGGGAGGATGACGCCAGGCAAAGACTAAACTCTGGTCGTGGCTCAAAGCCTCAGGCTCTCCGGTGCTGGGCTAAGGGGGGAGAGTTTTAGGAATGTTCTGCCCAGGCTGGAGAGGAACGGGCATTCTCAAGGGCAATGTCACAGGCAGACCAGGCAGCGGAAGAGTCCGGACCAGGGGAAGGCGGAGTCTGCAGCGGGAAGAGCAGAGGGGCTGATGGCTGGTAGAACTGGACTCAGATTCTGCACCAGGCAGGCCACTTCATAGGGCTGAGTCTCCGCTTGCTAACCTTTGACTGCAGGTAACATCCATGTATTTAATATTAGAAACGATGCAGCAGCTACCTCTTATGGAACCCTTACTTTGTGCCAGCTGCTCTTACACGTAGCATCTCATTCATCGCCCCCTGTGGGATGCACTGTTACAGGTGAGGTGAGAATATGGTCCCAAGCCCCCCCGCCCAGGAACTGGTAAATCCAGGGTCGGATTTGGTGCCTTCACATGCTTAGCCACGATGCTCCTCTGCCCGTCCAGAACACACCTGTCACCCTCAGAGTGAGGAAAACGTCAACCCTCGGCCTAGAGCTGCTCTCCCAGCCTCATGTCCCTGGTCCTTCAGACCCTTGGAAGTGGAGAGGGCGGGACCGGGGGAGGGTTCAACGAGATAACACAGCTAAACGGCCTGCACTCAAGAGCAGTAACGCTCACGAGTGACTCTCATGATTCAGGGCTTTAGGCAAGGAGGCCTTGGAGTTAAGGCTGGAGCCCTGGGGAGGGAAGGTCCAGACCAGACCAGAGTGGGGCTGCCAAGCTCACGAGCGGCCATCGCTGGCGTGAAGCCACAGCCTGCGCCCGAGGGGAGGCACTTACTATGTTCTTGCTGTCCTCGGCGAAGGTCTCTTTCACAAACATGGGGCCCAGGGCGAAGCCCAAGTTGTTCTCTGTGTCGCTCACGCACAGCTTCCAGCGAGGAAGGCAGGTCTGAAACAGAGGGAGGGGTTACTGGGCCCCGGCCTCCCTCCCAACCAGCTGGGGCCCCTGCTTCCTTCCAGAACTCCAGGGAGACCTTTTCAGACCCCGTAGGAGTTCTTCTAGACACTAAACCAAGAGGCCACAGAACGGCCCTCATCACGGCCATCTACTCTTTCCTGAATGCGGGCTCCGAGCACAGCACTTCGCAGGTGGTATTCCGTGTGGCCATCGGAATGACCTGGGAGGCAGGGGCGGGCCCTGGCCAGGCGAGGAAACAGACTCAGCACAGAGGAGTCTCTGGTCTAGGGTCCCAGTGACCAGAACTCGGCCGCGCCTGACCCCACACCCGACGCTCCCCCCTGCCCTACCTCCTGGGGGAGGATAGGAATCCTGGTGACAAAGAACCTTGGGAAGTTACCTTGTCAACCCTGAGTAGCAAGAGGCCAGGACCCAGCCCCATTTAGAGCCTCCAGAGAAAGAACTGTCACAACGACACTGCCAGACTCTGAAGCATCCCCTCGTCCTGGCCTCACCCTCAAGCCCAGGGGCCTGCAGGACGCCTGTGCCGCTGAGCCTCACAGAGCACGGCTTGGGGAGAGCATGGCTCGGGAAGAAAGCACCGCGGCTAGTTTTGGCCCCACCCGCTCCCCTGCCCAGCAGCCCTCTGGGGACAGTCTGTATGACCTAAGTGGGGGCCCCACTCCCATAAATCTGTCGGCTGCAGAGGAAGCCAAATCCTCTCAACCCTGGACAACAGGTGGCAAAACCCACCCATGTCAGGGCAGCCTCCTTCATTACAGCCCTCAACTGAAAACCACCCAAACTCCCACCCGCAGGTGGAGGGAAAACAAAAGGTGGTGTTTTTATACAACAGCACACGACTTGGCAACAACAAGGACCAACTCCTGACACATACAGCACAGATGCACTTCACAGACACGCTGAGCAGAAGCCTGACACAAAGGGCACCTTGTGTATGATTCCGCTTCACCCTTCTACACCCACCTGGGGGTGCGGGGTAGGGGCTACTGTGAAGGGGCACAGAGAACTGCTGGCTAAATGGGGCGGTGGTTACACGGGTGATTTCATTTGTCAAAACTCACTGAACTGTGTATTTCATACATTTCATTGCATGTAAGTAATACCTTCATTAAAAAAAATATATTTCTTTCAGGCCAGAAGTGAGAAAGGAAGGCAACGGCACTCTAACCTTCTCTAAGTTTAGTCGCCCAAGTTCTTTTACGCTTTCCCACCCAGGTGTCTACCTGGACATCTCCCCTCTCCCCCATCCCCACCCAGCCTTCCCCGGGGGTAAGGCCTCCTGCGTGCTCAGGGATACCTGGGCAGGCCTCTCCAGTGGCCCTCTTTATTCTCTGCCTCTGCCCACCTCCCTCATGAGTTCCATGCCCCTGGAGGGTACCGTGGTCATGCCAACCCCCAACCTAAGGCCTGGCGCACAGTAGGTACTCAACCCGTGTTTGGGGGTGCACAGTAACAGGCTCACCTTCTTGGTTCCATATATGATTTCCATCAACTTCTCGTCGGCATCCTGAAAGCGCTGATCAAGGAAGCCGGTTGTCTTCCGCACCAGGGTCCAGATCATGTAGTTGTTCAGCAGGCTGAGGCGAGAGGAGACAAGACATGCTCAGAAGCGCCCCAGGCTGGAAATGTTGCAGCACTCCCGCCACTGACCTCTAGGGTGCGCTCACATCCAACATTCTGATCCCACGTGCTCTTTCCACGCCCGGTCTGTCTGTCAGGTAATGGATGCTCTCTAAGCACATGGACTGTCACTTCCAGGGCAGAGCCTCGGTCCGAAAAGCCCTCAGTGCCTAGTGCAGTGATGGCGAACCTTTTGAGCTCGGCGTGTCAGCATTTTGAAAAACCCTAACTTAACTCTGGTGCCGTGTCACATATAGAAATTTTTTGATATTTGCAACCATAGTAAAACAAAGACTTACATTTTTGATATTTATTTTATATATTTAAATGCCATTTAACAAAAAGAAAAATAAACCAAAAAAATGAGTTCGCGTGTCACCTCTGACACGCGTGTCATAGGTTCGCCATCACTGGCCTAGTGCATTAATCTGTACACCACAAGTGCTCAATAAGTGCTGTGAGCCTCAAACTGGAACCAGCAGGGGAAGGGGTGAGTGAATAGCCATCAGTTTTCTCAGGGGAATACTATGTAGCCATGAAAAAGGAGGTCTGCAGAGGGTTTAGGATGACATGGATAAAATGCTTATGATAAAAGTCAAGGGAGCCCTAACCGATTTGGCTCAGTGGATAGGGCGTTGGCCTGCGGACTGAAGGGTCCCGGGTTCGATTCCGGTCAAGGGCATGTACCTTGGTTGCGGGCACATCCCCGTAGGGAGTGTGCAGGAGGCAGCTGATCGATGTTTCTCTCTCATCGATGTTTCTAACTCTCTATCCCTCTCCCTTCCTCTCTGTAAAAATCAATAAAATATATTAAAAAAAAAAAGTCAAGGGAGGCCCTGGTTGGGTAGCTCAGTCAGTTACAGCATCATCCCCATATGCCAAGGTTGCAGGTTTGATCCCGGTCAGGGCACATACAAGAATCAATCAATGAATGCATAAATAAGTGGAACAACAAATTGATGCCCCCCCTCCCTCCAAAAAATCAATTAAAAACTAGTCCAGGGGAAAACAGACCATAGCTCTAGTCACAATGACTGGGAAAAAGGGATGTGCATTAGAAACCCACCTCTGTCCTTCTCTCACATACATGCTTTCTCTCTCCACATGTGCACACCCACAAACACACACATCCCATAAGATCTACATTCGTATTTTGGGTAAATATAATTTTTTTCTGTAGCTTTCAAAAATTTCTACAACAAATCTTTAAAATGTAAGAAAACATCATAAATACTAATACGAGCTAACCCTTCCTGGGTCCATTTCGTGTCAAGGCACTACATGAAAACACGGCACATGGGTTATCTCACTCAAGTCTCACCACCACCCCACAGGGTAGGTGCAACTTGTACCCCCATTTTATGGATTCGGAAAATGAACCCGAGAAAGGGTAAGAAACGTGCTCGAGGCTACAAAGCTGGCAGGTGGGGGAGCTGGGATTTGAACCTGCGTTCATAACCACGGTGCCCTGCTGCCTCTCATCAGAGCCAACGCCAGGGCCCACTTTCCTGAGTCAGCCTGTCACTGCTCGGCCATGCTGCCTGAGAAGAGGCCCGTCCCAGGCCGCCCAGCGCCCTCACCACTTGTCAGTGTTGTTGATGAGGGTGGAGACCTGGCTGAGGTACTCCTTGTCATAGACCACGATAGGCTCGGACGCATTGATCTCCACAGGGGAGAAGATGGCGTTGAGGAAGGGCAGCCAGTTGATGGCGGGCGCCAAGGCCTGGAAGAGAAGAGAACAGCGTGATGCAGAGCCCAGGTCTCCAGAGCGTGTCATGGTGCCTCCATCCTTGGACAAAGCAGAGAGCTGGGAGCTGTCCCACAATGCACTGGGCAGATGTCAAACGAAGGCTGCCTGGCTTCCATCAGAGATGCTGTATGTAGAATTCTTTTTTAGAGAATATACTCACGGGATGTTTTATTGACTGACCTCTCTGAAACATGTTAGAACTCATACGGCTAGTTGCTCAATGTGACAAATTCCTAACCCAAAAGATTTTAATGTAGGAAATGAACATATAAACATCACAGTTAGGTGTCAAAATTCAAGATGAACATCAACTAGAATATTTCTGGTTTAATGGAAAACAACAGCATGAGAGTCACGCTTAACACCTTGGTTAAGTAAAGAGAGAAATGCGCAGGGGTGTCAAAGAGGTATGTACCTAGGATTCTAAGGGCCAAAAACTGAACGTGATGTGGAACTAGAATGGGATAGAGGAGACTCAGCAGCAGCAGCAAGAAGCTACTGTTGTCCTAGCCAGCTTGGCTCAGTGGATAGAGCGTCAGCCTGCGGACTGAAGACTCCCAGGTTCGATTCCGGCCAAGGGCACATGCCTGGGTTGTGGGCTCGATCCCTAGTAGGAGGTGTGCAGGAGGCAGCCTATCAATGATTCTCTCTCATCATTGATGTTTCTATCTCTCTCTCCGTCTCCCTTCCTCTCTGAAATCAATAAAGAAATATATATTTTTTAAAAAGAAGCTACTGTTGACCAAGCCCCTCCCATGCCAGGTGCCATGCCGATCACTCACACATCTCCCAACTGGTCCTCACGACAAGCCTAGGAGGTAGGCACTGTTATCCCCAGTGTATTGATGAGGAAACTGAGCTCCGACCGGACTTAATGGGTAAACGTGTAGAATCTGGAACCCAAGTGCCTAGGTTCGTACTCCAGCTCTCTTACTTCTGAGCTGTGTGACCCTGAGAAAGATGAGGTACCTCTCTGTGCCTTGGGAATCTGGAAAGTGGGGATCATCATAGTAACAGAACATACGTCATAGGGTTAGTGTGAAGATTACATGAGTTAATACTGTCTGTTAGACTCAACATGTCGAACACCGACTGTATTCTGACTGGCCTTCTATACAACTGGTAAAGTCAGGAAGGACAGCCATGCCCCGGCCGGTGTGGCTCAGTGGATGGAGCATCGGCCCAAGCACCAAAGGGTCTCGGGTTCAATGCCCGGTCAAGGGCATGTACCTGAGTTGCAGGATCAACCTCTGGCCCCGGTCAGGGCGTGTGCAGAAGGCAACCAATCAATGTGTCTCTCTCACAATGAAGTTTCTCTCTCTCCCTCCCTTTCAATTTTTCTAAAATAAAAAATCATGTGTAGAATGATAACCTTCAGCAACCAAGGAAAAGCCCTTAGCTCAGCTGATGCGCCACAGGAAGCCCGGCAGCTCTATTTCAAGATAATTTAAATTGAGCACCTGCGCAGGGGCTCCCTCCCCACAGAGGCACGGCCAGCTCTGTGCAACTCAGCTCTTGGCAGGCTGCACTTGCTCCTGGCCCACCTTGCGCCCCCCCTACCACGCTCAGAGCTCCTGTTCATCTGCAGGGTCTCTGTCCTCAGCCAGCATTTCCGCTTCCCACCAGGCAGCCTCCAGCCAAGCTGTGTGATCTGTCCAGGTTCCAATGATTGTTTTGTGAGTGTTCTGATTACAAAGTTAACTCAACATTTTTAAAAAAATTGTGGTAAAAATACACACCTAAAATGAACCCTCTTAACCTTTTTTTTCAGTGTGCAGTTCAGTGGCATCGTTAGGCAACCATCACCACCACCCATCTTGCAGAAATGAAACTCGGTACCTATTAAACAGTAACTTCTCCCAGCTCCTCCTCCGGCCCCTGGGAGCCACCACTCCACCTTCCGTCTTTATGCATCTGACTCTGACTGCTCACGTAAGTGGAATCACACAGTATTTGACCTTGTGTGACTGACGTATTTCACTTAGCACTGCCCTCAAGCCAAGCTGCACAACTTTTGAGTGGTCTGCTTTAGACCTGCTTTCCCATATGTCTTGTTATTTCTAGTTATCTTTTTGTCCTGTAATTTTACAGAATGCAACGTTTTGGGGACTTCATGTGCTGCCTTACAGCAAAAGTGCCTGTATGTGTCAATCACCTAGGTCCTAGGATGGTATCTGGCGCTTCGCAAGAGCTCAATCAATGTTAGCCATTGTAATCACTGCTCCAGGTCTCCCACGAGCGGGCCTGGGCTCATTCAATTCCAAATTCTGTTTTGTTCCCTCAAAAAAGTGCAAAATGCAAGATGTAGGACGGTGAGCGAGGCATCATAAATGGCCTTCGTATGGATCAATAATGTAAGATCTGCCCAGCAGGTGTGGCTCAATGGTTGAGCATTGACCTATGAACCAGGAGGTCAAGGTTCGATTCCCACTCAGGACACATGCCCAGGTTTCGGGCTTGATCCCCAGTAGGGGGTGTGCAGGAGGCAGCCAATCACTGATTCTCTCTCATCATTGATATTTCTTTCTCTCCTTCTCTTTTCCTCATTGAAATTAGTAAAATACATATTTTTTTAAAAAAGGTCTTCTTTTAAAAAATAATGTAAAATCAGTCTGTAACATCAGCTGAATCTATAACCTGTTGGAAAATACCCACGGAGCCCTCCGTGAGAGAGGCAGCCACGAAAACCCGCCGTGTAACGGACACTGAGCGACAGTGACTTTCCTGAGGTCACAGGGTGAGCCAGTGACTGTGCAGGTCTAAAACCGGGGTGTACTCATGTGTCTGGTTTTAAAGGGCAGCTCAGCTCAGCTGCTGGGGAACAAGGACCTCAGAGGATGGAGGAGGGCAGCTCCCGCAGGCCAGGGCTTGACAACTGGCTCTCAGTGTGGCTTGTATTTCCACCCTGACCTCCTGCAGACTTCCCGCAGAGCTGGGAAGAGCTGGCCCTGTGGGCTCCTGCAAATGTCTGCCTGCCCCACAGCGAGACAGCGGGGAGGAGCCCTGTGCTCGCCTGAGACGACCCCGTCTTTCTCTAAAATGGGGACAATCCCCACCTCCCCCTCCAGGGTGGGCTGCTCGGTGCCTCTCGGGACAGCGTGCTCAACAAACCCGAGTTTCCTGTCTTCCCGGCTTGCTCGTCCTGCTCTCTGGTCCTGGCAGGAGCCCCTCGGGCAGGCAACCTCTGGAGCGTCCCCTTAACATTTGTGGCTGCAAAACTTGGAGGTGTTTAGGTGAGATGCTCAAAGAGGGCTCAACACTTAGAGCCACCTGTCTATACGACCTGCTGGCAAAGACCCCTGGGAAATTGGCCAAGTTTACAGAGCATCATTGTGTACAATAACACGAGCTTCACAAAGGGCAGGCAACTGGACTCTCTGAACAGGGCACAGCCATCAGGAGATACACCTCTACCTACTTAACGCAGACCTGGCCCTGCAGGGCACAGGTGCTCTGTGCAGGCCCATTCCCACAACTCTGCGGTAGGGTGTGTGTTGAATACCAGGATTTCCGCATTTCCAGCCTCTATTCCTGTAGAGAACACCTAACTTGAACATGTGTGCCTAGATCCGTCTCTAAGGAGATGGCTGCTTTAACCAACGAGGACACTCCACTTGTGACACAAATCCTTTGGGGCGCACCGATGAGCTCTATTTTCCATACCCGCAGCCAAAGAGTACTGCCGGTCAGGTCACCGACCAACCGGCTCAAGTAGGCTTGCAAAGAGGGAGAGAAAAGAAAGATGCTATCAGGCTTTGTCTCAGCTGGAGGATTTAAAGGGGATGGGGCTCGTTCCCAAACACCTTTTGGTGTGGAAGGTCCTGGAAAAGAATGGGAGGGTCCTCAGGCTCCCAGAGAAGCGACAGGAGGATGTCGGATTCAGCGCTCTGAATTCAGACTCTGCTGGGGGCGAGTCTGGGACCACTGCACTCGGCGGGGCCAGCCCCACACTGTGAGGGCTGGAGTGCCTGCCCAGTCACCAGGAGGATGGGAAGGAAACCAGTTTCCAGTAGCCAGCAAACAAGGCATTCTCTACCCAAGGGTGGGATGAATCAAATGAGTTCAGCGCTGAAGACGTGGCTGGGATCACCCGTAACAAAGGAATAATACTAATCATGATGACGAAGATCTATCTGAATTGCACGTATCAGTTTACAAGGTGAAATCTCATCCCTTGCTTCATCGCATCCTCTCGCAACCCCGTGGGCAGGCCAGGCAGAGATTCTTATCCGGGAGACAGGTGTCAGGGGCCCGGGACGGCTTTCAACGTAATTATTTCTTATGTCCATGGGCCCACTTCCTCTGAGAGACACTGCACAGGTTTCAGCCTGTTCCCTAAGGGGTCTGTCACTTCCAGCTGCCAGGGCAGGGCTGCCACTCATCTGTCTCCCTGGCACAGAGCAGGGGTGAATGAATGAGCAAAGCCCCATTTTACAAGAAAGGAAGCCAAGGCTCAAAGAAGGGGTGTGTGACTTGCCCAAGGTCACACAGCTGGTGGGGGGCTGGGCCAGAGCAGTCTTCTGACCCCGCCCAGGGCTCACACCACTCCAGGCTGCGGCCTCTGCCAGTCCTCCCCAGGGGAAAGCTATGCAGCTGGGAGGGAGGAAGAGCAGAACGAGAGCAAATGGTGATAGGATGCCTGGGGGTAGAACCTGATAGCCAGGCTGGGGCTGATGTGCCCAAGGCTACTGTGCCTTCTCTGCCACTCCTGGTGTAGTCAGTTGGCATTGTGGTCACTGTGTGTGTGTGTGTGGGGGGGCCTGAGGCCCCCCTTGAGGCCCCCCTTGAGCTGAGAACTGGGCAGCTTGTGCAAACCAAATTATGGTGCATAAACAGCACCTCCCTTGACCTGGCCTCAGAGCGGAAAAACAGTGCCAGATGGCGCCCATCACAGGCTGTTGATCTTCCTGACCCCCTCGCCTCCGCCCCCGCCCCCAGCACCACTCACCCTGATGCCAGCTTCTCAGGGAACCTAGAGGGCAGCTGGCACCCAGGAGGCCAGGTCTGCCTCCACCTGGGCAATGCTCACCCACTCTCCAGGCTCACCTTCCCCGGCTTCGCCCTGCCCCTGCCCTAGTGCCTGCCCTGCTTCTTTTGCTCAAAGCCCTTAGCGGCGAGTTTGGGGTTGCTTCCTTGTCGGTGGCCCCATGTACACCGGTCAGAGGAGGGACGGAGGAGAAAGGGGCAGGGACCTCAGTGTTCTGCCGGGAAAGAGAGTAAATGAGCCGAACTCTAATGCACGGGCAGGACTTGGCTGGTCAGGGGGTAGAGAAGGGAGGAGACATTTTAGCCTGTCCCAGACAGCCTCCCCAGAGAGAGAAGGCCCCGCCAAGCGTTCCTGGGTGATGGTAGGGAAGAGGAAGATGGGCTGAGGCCACTTGGCTGGCTTCCTCTGTGACCCCGGGGGGTTTGGGGTAAGGCTGGACACTAACACCCCATGAACTGGAAAGAAGGAACTTGGCAAATTCATGACCTGCAAGTCCCAGGCAGCCACCAGGGGGCAGCCTTTCACAAAGGCTGAGCTGTGGAGGGAACTTCTGCTTTTCAGATGGGTCATGCTCAGTACAGAACCTCACAGTTCTGACCCTTAACTTGATTCCACCGGGGTCACCGGGGTCACGGTCAGAAGCAGAGCTTCAGTTAGCCAAGCCTGATTCCATGCCAAGCTCCCCTGTCACGTAGGAGCCTCATGGCCTTCAACTTGTCCCCTAACCTCCAGGCTTAAGAAAGGGTGTAGTGGCCCTAGCTGGTTTGGCTCAGTGGACAGAGTGCCAGCCTTCGAACTGAAGGGTCCCACGTTCGATTCTGGCCAAAGGCACATGCCTGGGTTGTGGGCTTAATCCCCAGGAGGGGGCATGCAGGAGGCAGCCAATCAATGATTCTCTCTCATCATTGATGTTTCTCTCTCTCCCTCTCCCTTCCTCTCTGGGAAAAAAAAAAAAAAAGCATGAAGTGTCGACAGAACCCAGTCCTCACATTTACTGTTTGCTGTGTAGCAGGCTCGAAGAGCTTGGTGCCTGAGAGATCGGCAATGCCCATCAGTGTGAGCTATTATGACCACAGCCTCCCTGGACAAATGCTGTCACTGAAAAGCAGCCTGGTGCAGGCAAGAGACTAGCTTTGGAGTCTCTAGCCGTGCGGCCTTCAGCTGGGAACTCCACCTCTCGGAGCCTCGTCAGTCTTCCCATCTGAGAAGTGGGCAGAACCACCAGCCCTGCTTCAGAGGGTTGTTCTGAGGACCTGACGAGGTGGGTGTAAAACCCCGGCCCAGCGCCCTCCGTCCTGAAGCCCCGGGGCTGCCCCGGACGGAGCTCACGTCACCTGCAGCTCGGCTGCTGTCACTTTGTGGTAGATGAGCTCCTCGTCCCGGCGCTTCTCCTGGGGGATGGTGATGTTGGCCAGCATGGTCTCAAAGTCCAGGATCTGCTGCATCTGGGGGCGCACGGCGTCCTCGTCCCCTCCGCCCAGCAGCTTCCCCAGCTGGACCATGTAGTTCAGGTAACCCGTCAGCACCTGTGGGCCCCCGAGCCTGTCAGTGGCTGCCACCTCTGCCCCTGGTGGCCCAGCGCAGGGAGGGAGGGGCTGGCGCTTTCCCCGGGCACCCACCGGAAACAGCTTCTAGAATGAGTTTGGCAGTGCACCAATTCACAGCTCACATGGCCCTGGGGACCAAGGCCACAGGTCCCCAGGAGGGCCGGTCCCTGCTGTCCAGGTCCTCATTCCCTCCCGCATGCTCCTCCCAGAGAGCCGTCTTTCAGGGCCTGGAACTCACTTTTTCTGAACTGTCCTCTGTGGCTCCCCCACCCCCCCATCTAAATTAGGTCCCCAGGTTACCTTCTCAGTTCACCTTCCTTATCACCATTTGTCATTATGCCTCTAATTGGTGGTTAATTAACATCAGGGACCAGGCGGCCTTGTTCACCACTATCTCCCCAGCATCAGGCATAGCGGGCACTTGCTCAGTACAAGTGGGTGGAATGATGAATGGATAGACGAGGAACCTCAGGCCAGGTCTCCCCGGGACACCACGGATGCAGCCAGGGGGATGGGAAGGCGTGGGTTTTAGAGTGGGCGGGTCTGGATAGGCATCTCAGTCTCTGCTAAGTGACCTTGAGCAGATCACGTATTGCCTCTGAGCCGTATTCCCTCCTCTGAAGTAGGCAAGGTAAAAATAATACCCAGGGACAGAGGAGGCGAACGAAGGTCGGAGGAGACGTTCGGTATCTGCAGGGTCACCGGAGGGCCACAGGTGCTGTGAGTATAAAAGGCCCAGCACCCCCAGAGGGCAGGGCGGTACCGCTGCATCGCTCTAGAATGGGGACACATGACACCTGCTCCTGCCTATTGTGCCCATGATGCCTGGATGTGAACCAGCCTCACTCTGGAATGGGGCCATATGACAGCCTCCCTGCCAGGGACTGCGTGTCACCTATCGGGTAAGTGACACCTCTGGGTTCCTGTTCCTCCAGCTTCAAAGACCTGAACACTCGGGGGACACGGGGTGGGGGACAAACCACGGAGAGCTGGGGGCGGGAGCCACTCCCTTTGCAGAGGCCCACTCACCTTCTCATTTTCCGTTTTGTTCAGGTAATAATCCCTTGAGGGCAAGCCCAGGCCACACTGGTCCACCTGGAGAGAAAGGCGGGAGTGAGAGGGAACCTCCCGTGGCACACGCACCCTGCAGGCCTCCACCCACCAGGAGGAACAGACAGAGCCCCCCTCTTCTCTCAACACCTCCGAGGCCCGGCAGAGCAGCTCTACTTCATAAGACACTCCCCAAGGCGGAGCCGTGGTTAAGAGCCCCTCACAAGCTGTGTAACCTTGGCCAAGTCACTGACCCTGCCTGATCCCCAGGTTCCTCATCTGCAAAATAGGGGGGAAACAGCTCACCCTCAGGCTGGAAGGGGATTCAAGGAGACAGTGCCAGTAAAGGGCTTGGTGAGTGGGGGGCTGGTGAGGACTGTCCATTCCCGATAGTTACGGCCACACCTTGTCAGACCTAAGTAGGTGTTATTATAATGCGTTTGATCTCTTCTCGGCCATTTGGTTAAGATCCAGTGTACAGTTCATTTCATTGGAAAGGAAATTGAAGCTCAGAAAGGTTGAGGCACTTGCCCAAGGTCACACAAGGAGTGAATGGCAGAGATCGGTGGGAACTCAGTCTTCATGGAGAGAGAGATGGACTCAAAGCCATTCCAGGCAGAGATACAAAGGCTGGAGGCTGAGGCGGGGGGACCAAGACATGGCTCCAGCTGAGCCTAGGGCAGCGGTCGGCAAACTCATTAGTCAACAGAGCCAAATACCAACAGTACAACGATTGAAATTTCTTTTGAGAGCCAAATTTTTTAAACTTAAACTATATAGGTAGGTACATTGTTATTAACTTAATGAGGGTACTCCTAAGCTGGCCTTTGCTAAAAAACGTCCTCAATCTGATTGAGGTACGTTCGCTGAGGTCGACCCCTTCCAACTCTCCCATCCACACTCGTCTTGTATACTTGTTTCGTCTATCTCCTTTCCGAAAACTGACTTCTGCGCAGGGGCCACGAAGTTTCAATGGCACTGTACGTGCGCGCCCACATTTGGTATTTTGTGGAAGAGCCACACTCAAGGGGCCAAAGAGCCGCATGTGGCTCGCGAGCCGCGGTTTGCCGACCACTGGCCTAGGGGTTGACCTCATCCCTGGAGCCCACGGTGACATAGCAGAACCCTGAAGATCCCTTGGTGTTGCAGCAGCCCACCTACCCCAGGAGGCAGCCTGTCCTTTCCAAACTTCTTGCCTGTCAAGCTCTCACCATTGGGAGCCAAGACTGTCTCCCAGGCCAGGGCAAGTCCCCTCCCCAACTGCCCCAAGGCAGCGCTTGCTAAACTCAGAACAGGCCATGAGGTCCTGCCCCCTCCTTCCTGGAATTCCCGGTCAGCTCACCTGGATCACGTTGCTGTTGGAGTTTTTGGAATCGGCACTGACGTAGACGGAGAAGAGGGCTGAGGTGCGGTAGCGGGTGGTGACCACCTCCAGGATCTCCTGGAAGTTGTCCTTGTCCCAGGGCCCTGTGATGTTCCAGCCCCCGAGCTGTGCGGAGGGAGGGAAACAGGGAGGTGATGAGATGGCGGGGAGACCCGGGTGTGACATGTGACCCTGGTCAGCCACCTGACCTCTCTGAGCCTCAAGAGCAAATGAAAGGGAGGTCATCATTAGCCAGAGATCCCGGCTGGAGCAAAGATGCACCCTGGACAAGGGAGCCGTGGGTCCACGGGGCGGCTGCTCCCTGGTGGCTGGGGGCGGGGCCGGGAAGAAGACTTTTCCGGTTCTCTGTTTATTTTTCTAGCACTAAGTCACATGAATGTCATTCCTACTGAAGCATAAATTCAATTGTGCCTAAAGCAACATATTTCATTTATTTGTAAGTTGTACTTATTTATTTTTCCATTACAGTTTACTTTCAATACTATTCTATATTATTTTCAGGTATAAGGAAAGCTCTATATTTTTTAAAAGATTATCTATTTTAGTTTCTCTCAGAGTTAGATTTTTAAAAATTTCCTTGGTGTTCCTGGTTGAGCTCACGCTGGAGACGGAGGGACGGTACAGTCCCCGGTGCCCACAGCTCCCCACCCACCCCAATGCCTCCCCCTCTCTCCCCAGCCGAGCTGGGAGGCGGGGCCTGGAGGGAGCAAGGGCAGCTAGAAAACACCCTCGGCCACCCCTGTGTGTGCGCCAGGCAGCCTGGCAGCCCCGGGCCAGGAGGCCATCCAAGGCTGATCGGAAGGTGCCCAGGAAGAAAGACTCTTTCTCCTGGTCAGGGGGCCGGGGAGGCCCTGGGTCAGAGGGAGGGCTCTACTTCTGCTGCAAGACTTCCTGTTGCTCCTTGTGGACACACCCCTGTCACACACAGATACTCTCTGAGGACAAGGAAGCAGCAACACAGAGAACATTTTATCTGTAAATACATCCCCTGTCCCACACGCAGATGCAGAGGCACATGTGTGTGACAGACCTCCCCACACAAATACACACATGGATGCCCAGCCGGCGTGGCTCAGTGGTTGAACATCGACCCCTGAACCAGGAGGTCATGGTTCGATTCCCGGTCAGGGCACATAGGTGGTGGTGGTAGGGGGGGGGTTGGGGCTTGGGGCTTGATCACCAGTAGGGGGCGTGCAGGAGGCAGCCAGTCAATAATTCTCTCTCATCATTGATACTTCTATCTCTCTCACCCTCTCCCTCCCTCTCTGAAATCAATAAAAATATATTTTAAAAAAGTAACAAATACACACCCACAGAGAGATGAGCATGTGCACGCACATGCACACGCACACACACGCACACACACACATGCACATGCACACGCACGCACATGCACACACACGCACACACGCACACACACACACATGCACACGCACACACACACACATGCACACGCACACACACGCACACACACGCACACGCACACAACCCTGGCACTGTCAGCAGACAGGCTCCACCATCCACGGCCGGTCCTGGTGGCAGCTGGGCGCTGGGACAGAAGCCAGAGGGGCAGGCAGGGGCAGGGCGGAGGAGATCGGGAAAGTCTGCCGGAGGAACTCACCCTCTCAATCAGCTCCATCAGGGGCTTGGCCTTGAGCTCCTCGATCTTGGTTTCGTTCATACACGCGCGATAGTACACCTGGGCCTTCTTTTCTGCTTCGCTCACACTGGCTGTGGAATTTTCTGGAATGACAAGAGAGCCGTTTGCGACATGCCCCCCGTCCCGCTGGGAGCCCTGGGTGGTCCTCTGCAGGCCTGGGGCCCTGCCTGTCAGGGCAGCGGTGAGGAGCTGTCAGAGCAGGTACGGGACCGCCCCAGGGCACAGCCTGGCAAACGGGAGGTGCCCCTGCTTTGAGCTGCCCGCAAACAAGAAGAGAATAAATACGCTGCTTCCCCCGCCCTGGTGGTCGGGTGTGCAGACGTGTCCCTGGTTGGCAGCGTGGGCGCCCAGCTGGGGGCGGTCTGCTTCCCCGCCGGTCGCAGGGCCCAAACACCCCCGCCTGGTGCATGGGACAGAGGCCTGTCTAGGCTTCAGATCCCAGATGGCCTTCCCTGTGATAAAGACTGGAGTTGGGCGGCAGCCTTAAAGGCCTCATTCATTTTATGAATTTACTTTCAGCTTCTTCCTCCGAGAGCCCGGGCACGTTCCACAGACTAACAGCAGACTCAGGGGCCGTTTGCCATTTCCCTTCCCAAACCCGGCGGGCAGCGTCACAGCCCCTTGCGCTGGGACACCCGGGAGACTGTCCTCCTCCCTGTCCTTGGGCCCTGGTCCAGATGCCACCTGCTGAGGGCCGTGCTCCTGTATGTGCGAGAGCACAGGGCAGGGTCCCAGCGGCACCTTCCTGCTGTTCAGGCCACAAGGACCTACTATGTGCCTGAGCTTTCATCTCAGGACCCCGACCCCCTCAGTTCCCTCTGTCCAGCTTGCTCCCTGGGGGGCTCCTCGCTGCTCTGGCCACTTTGCCTCAGTTCATATTTGTCTTTCCTGGACCCTGAAATTCCCTCCTTTGCTTCCTTCTAAAATACCCCAAACCCCACGACCTCCATGAAGACTTTTTTGGCAGAAGGTTACCCATTCATCCACTAAACAGATGCTTACTCTGTGCAGGCTTTGGGGGTGCAAAGACAACCTCCCTGTCCTCTGGAAAAAAGCCAGGTGGGGTGGGGGACGACGAGAGTGGGCTGGAAGAGGTTTATGGGGGAGAGGAGGACTATGTAATACTTTCAACAATAAAGATTAAAAAAAAAGAGAAAGCCCACCCTGGGCCTTCTGCATGGGACACTGTCCAACTCTCCTCGGCCTTCAAGGCCCCTTCAGGGGTTCCCAAGAGGTTCATTCATGTAGGCTCTCAGCACTGAGCACCTGCTGGGTGCCAGGCCTGGGCTGGGCACCAGGGTTTACAGCCACGAATAAGACCTGCTCCCACCCGCAAGGAGCTCAAGGTCTAAGAGTACACACAGGCGTACAAAGATGTGGACCGCGAGGCACCGAAGTGCTTTAACGCAAATGGTTCTGGAACCCAGAAAAAAAGTCACACACTTGGGTGGGGTGGGGCCCGGGGGCCTCCAGAGGGCGTCCTATTTGAGCTGCTTCTGGAAGGTGAAAAGTTACTCACCAGGTAGGAATGAGGGAGGGGGGCATTGGGTTTGGGGGGAGTTGGAGAGTGTGAGGAAAAACAAGCATAAAAGGGCATGCAGTTTGCAGAAAAGAAATCCATTCGCAGCCAGTTGGTGCAAAGGACACGAGTCACTTCCTGGCTGGTCTAATCAGCTTGCCCGGCCCTGAAGCTCCCCGCCCCCAGTTCTTACCCTCAACAGCACCACGGTTTCCAATGGTTGCAGAGCGTCAGCCCTGCCTGGCTGAAGTCAGGGGGACAGTCCGAGAGGGAGGGGTAGTTTGCAGGGCGATCGGGTGACAGCGTGCCAGGGGGCAGTGATGAGGAGCTATGGGGGCACACAGCCCTGCAGGGAGCACCAGCATGTCCCCGTGCCCCTCCGAGCAGGAGGAGAGCTCCCTGGAGGAAGGGCAGGGACTTGTCCCTGCTCCTCACACTCAAAAAGCAGCAAAGCAGGAAAAGCGAAGTGTCCCCACCCCCTCCCAGGGGCTGCGTTTCTACGACAACACCTCCCAGCAGCTAGGCTCCTGGACGGGAAAGCAGGCATCCTCACTGGCTGGCCACATCTGGCTCTGGCCCTGACCCTGAAATGCCAGGGCCAGCGTCAGGGGAGGTACAGTCTGTGCGCTCTGGCCCATCAGGGGGCCGGGCCCCTCCCTCCCCCAGTGCCCCAAGGCCACCCAGATAAAGGCCCACAGAAAGGCTCCAGGGACAGGCTGGCTGGCTCATGACAGCAACTTCCAGGCGGCCCCCTCCCCCACCTGTTTGCAGTCCCCCAGGGACCTCCGGGAGGGGCGGGAAAGCAGCCAGCCTCCTCCTCTCCTTCGGGGTTCAAACTCCCCCTGAGCTCCGCGCCCTGGGTGTCACTCCACCCATTTCCCCACAAATATTACCAAGTTCTTATGGTTTGGTGGCTGCCAGGCTGGGTGCGGAGGTGGCATAGGCAACAGGACGGGAGCCTGACGTCATAGGGCCTCTGCAGCCGCACAAGGGCCAGACAGACAGAAAGCCATGACAGTCACAAAGGCCTGGGATTACACAATGGGGCACATGTGATAAGAATGACCCGAGGCCTTGGGGGAGGATGGCCCGGGAGGCGGGGATCCCTGTGAGCTCTCGGATGAGCTCCACGTGGAGTGGACATGGGCTGCCTCGCCCACCAGTCCGGGTGCTGGTCGTGCCTGCTCCCCGGCGCCGGTGGGCACACAGTAGCCACCAGCGACGTCTGCTGAAAGCACAGAGCCCAGTGTCTGCTGCTGCTAAGACGGGCACAGCATCTGGGGGGCGACAGGGTGATGAGGTGCAGCTTGCACACTGCACGGGGGGAAATGAGGCAGGTGGGGCAGAAAGGGACCGGAGTGAGGGTCCCACCAGGAGTCAGTGTTCATACCCCCTGACTCCCTTGCTGACCTGGGTGGGGCAGGAGCCCTGGAGAAGGGGAAGCCCCTCCCCTGCTCACCCACCTCCTCACAGGGCACCTACTACCTGGCAGGCACCAGGGGGACAAGAGCTGAAGGGAGATGGCCAGGTGGGAGCCACTGTAACAGTGAGCGGTGAGGGCTGGGCCAGGGGGCAGCAGACAAGGGGAGAGAAGCAGAGGGAGTGGGAGGGAGAGGAGTCAGTCCAGCATGCTGCCCAGGTTTCTTGGTCTGAGCAAAGGGTTGCTACTGAGGTTCGGAAGGCTGGGGTGGGGGCAGGGGTGGGAGTGGAATAGCTGTTCAGATGTCTATTTAACCTGAGATGTCTATTAGGCATCCAAGTGGACCTCTCTGGGTGGGAGTTTACAGAGCCGTGTCTTGAACTACTTGGAGTCCGAAAGGACCCTGGAGTATACAGATACCTTAAATTTGGCCATGAGCCCCAGACCACTCATTTGCAACATGGGCAATATTACCCCCAATGGGGAGAGAATTAGTTCTTAGGGGGTAGAAACAACTTACTGTTTTTATTTTTAAAGGAGTTTATTTTTTTTCTAATATATTTTTACTGATTTCAGAGAGGAAGGGAGAGGGAGAGAGAAACAGAAACATCAACGATGAGAGAGAATCACTGATCGGCTGCCTCCTGCACATCCCACACTGGAGATCAAGCCCGAAACCTGGGCATGTGCCCTGACTGGGAATCGAACTGTGACCTCCTGGTTCATAGGTTGATGCTCAGCCACTAAGCCACGCCAGCCGGGCCCAACTTACTCTTTCCATGTGTACATACAGTATGTAACAGGTTTACAGTATATCTGTGGTATTAAACTTTTAGGAGGAGGCAATAATGAAAAAGGTTGGGAAACACTGCTGGGGCTGATCTGGGCCCTGCACCTCCCAGCTGCCACCTGCTACCTGCCGCCTGTCTCCTCCTCTCCTCGTGTCCACGTTCCTGCCCCAGGGCCACGGTGCTCACTGTTCCTCCTGCTTGGCACACTCTTCCCCTCACAGCCATGTGGTCTGTTCGCTCACTAAATTCAAGTTCCTGCTCAGATGTCCCCTCCTCAGAAAGCCCATCCCTTCTTTGCCTCCTCTTCCCTCTCAGGCCACACATGTTCTTTGCTTTTTTTTCAAAGCCCTAATTCTTCATAATCATATTATTTACTCATTTATTTGCTTACTGTTTGTCCCTCCTGCTGGAATGAACTGCCACAGGAAAAGACTGTCATATTCCTGACGCAATGTCTGGGACCTAGCGATGTCTGGCAAATAGCGTGCAATAGAGTCACTGAGTGAATGAATGAATGAGTGAGTGAATGAATGAGTGCGTGCTCTGGCAGCTCCACAAAAAAGGTGTCAACCACTTCGGCCTGAGGGAGGAGGCTTGGGTTCAAAGTGAAAGGAGCCACAGACAGTTTCCTCTCTGGGAAAGGCGTGGTTTCCTGTAAGACACCCTAGCCGAGAAGGTTCCATGGGACCAGCAGGGAGGCATCAACAGGCAGTTCCCAGAACTGAGTTGGGAGGTGGTGGCACTGCCAGGGCCCCAGTGGAGATAATGTGGCTCCCAACTGCCTGGGTCCTTCCTCCTAGCGAACCCGAGTTCCAGAAACTTCCTCAGTCACTTCCCCAAAGTCCCAGGGAGGAAAGACAGCACACCATTTAATCGGCCTGCTTCTTCCTCTGGGAGTTTATACTGGCACAGCCCCCACCTCCCGCCTCACTCCCCGGGAGGAAAAAATGCCCAGGCAGCTGGGCGGCTGCAGAAACGGGGGTTACTGGGAATTCTGGCCAGAAGCATGGGGTGGGGGGCAACTCCACATCAGAGCAGGACCAGTGTTTGTCTTAGATAAACCCACAGACTCAGCTCAGACAATCCCAGCCCTCAGGAGCCCCATCCTGTGAGGGGATGTGGGGACCTGATAAAGGAGTGCCTTTTGCTGCAGAAGAATCAAAAGAATAACACGGCCACCACTTCCCCTGCCCACTTCAGCCAGGCCCTGTGCTGAGACCTGTTAGTCAGCACCGGCACCCTGGGGTGCACAGGATCACCTCCTGTCAAGGCGCCTGCCTAGGGCAGCAGAGCGAAGGGGCAGCACGCTGGGATTGGATGGAGCCCAGGCGTCAGTCAGCCTCCCTGAGAAAATGAGCTGCTTCCTGTGTGTGGGCGTGGCTGTGTGTGCATCTTGTCATAACAATCTCCACCAGTGGGTGTTAGTATCACGCCCAATTGATAGGCAAGGGGTGGGGGAACCGGTCTAAGGTCACACAAGTGAGTTCCGAGGCTGCCAGGATGGGAGCTCGAGCTCTCTCTGCTTTCCCTGCCTTGCCTGCAGGCCAGACACCCCCTCCCACCCTCGGGCCAGGTCATCCATCAGGCCATTTAACCGTTCCCCCAAACGGGAGGGAAGGGCCGGCGGCTGCAGCCACGGTACTGGACAGAAAGCATTTCCTACAGGTTCCGGATGACGCAGGAAGATGAAACTACATTAGACAGTAAATACTGGAAAAATAAATCCGAATGAAAATACAAGAGCTGTCACAGGTGACAGGATTAATTGCCCAGTTACTGACATGGACAAATTTAATGCTACAGGAATAACCCTGTATGTGTTTCTCGAGGAGAGGTCTCAGGGGGAGGAGAAAGGAAGGCCGCTAACTTTTTCTTCATGGAATCTGTATTGCCTGAATGGTTACAATAAGCAGGCATGAATTTTTTTTTTTTGCGTGTATTACTCTCATAACGTAAGACGTCGTAAATGTGACAGGTACACAAAATGTAATTGTAGCTGAAGCCGGAGAGGCCCTTTGGTAGCCATGGGAGGCATGAGGGAGGAACAAGTTTGAGGAAAGTCTCGCAGGGCTGAAAGGGGGTGGGGTAGGGACTCTGGATGGCAGGACAGTCTGTGCTAAAAGCACATGCTGGCGAGCCCAGGGCAGGCCCAGCCCAAGCGGCGATCCTTCCCCTGATAAAGGGAGGACACTCTTGTCTCCTATGAGGACAGCCCAAGCTGGCAGCTGGGTGGGCGGCAGTGTCTCATGGACGAGGCATCTGTCTCATGCAGCTGAGGTCACTGCCCTCCAGCCAGCAGGCTGCAAGGACATGCCACGGTGGCACGAGGCCTAGTTCAACCCACCTGCTACAGATCTGCCTGGATTTCCTGTGAGGGGCTAGGGGTGAACTCACTGTCAGACAGGGGAGGTCTGCCCAAGGTCACGTGGAAGCTGATCCTTACAGCTGCTCGGCACGGCCAGCTGACAGTCCTCACCGGCACTCTGCCTGTGCCCTCTCCTCCTTCCACCTGGGGAAGCTCACCCCAGGCCAGCTGGGACAGCCTGCCCCCCACCCTCCCCCCCCCGGCCTGGTCCAATCCCCATCAGCCTCAGCTCCCTCCTGAAGCCCGCTGGCTGACCCCTGTGTCTTGGGGAAGCTGAAACCAGCTTGGCCTTAAGCCCAAGAATGCACTGGCCCACGCTCCTGGATTTTTTTGTCACCCACTCACCTGTCTCCTGGCTTTTCAGGCATTTCCAGGTACCAAGGCCCGAAGGCGAAGGGCCATTTCCAACTAGTTCCCAGGAATGGGCCTGGGGTGAGAGGACCCCAGGATGTACCTCCTGGGGAAGCTCCTGGTCAGTGTGACATGGGGGTGGCCCCAGCTACTGTGCTCACCAGGCCTGGGAAGGTCTTGCCCAGCCTGGAGCTCAGCCACACAGGAGCTTGAACCACTGTGGCCGCTCCGCAGCCTCCGCGTGGTGAAGGTGACTCAGCAGAGTCAGTAGAGAAAGCATGTGGGTTTGAGGCCCCACAGCCCTGGGGCTGAACCCCAGCTCCACTATTTCCTAGGAAATATGTCTCCTCTGTGTTTGTGAGCCTCATCTGTAAAATGGGCAGATACAGCCTACGCCGTGGCTTTAATAAAATACAAGTAAACAGCTCAGCATGATCGTGGGCTGATAACTGGTGCAGTCCGGTGCTTCCGTGAGAAGTAACAGAAGCAATAATTACTCTCCAAGCCCCGATGAACCCTTAGGACGTCTCTCCTAATGCTCTGAGCTAGTCCCCACTTTCTAGGTGGAGAGCTGGGGCCCCGAGGGCGGAGTCTGGGCAGGAAGTCACTGCCACACCCGCAGGCGAGCGCACCTCCTCGGTGCAGGCTCTGCTAAGCACGCCGACCCTCACATGCAAGTCAAACCTCACAGGGACTCTGTGTGTTCGGTGGCATCGTCGCCCCCTTTTTACAGACCATGAAACGGAGTTGGAGAGAAGCTGGTCCATCTGTTCGAGGCCACTCGGGTGATAGGCTCGCATGCCAGGGCGGCCTGACCTCCAAACCCTGCAGTGTGGCCTCCTGATACCACCAGACCCTGGACCGGGGGCAGGGGCTTGAACGCACGGCTCTGGCTGTTCCGTGCCCAGCTCAGTGCAGCCTCCCCACCCCCATACCTGACCTTCAGGGACAGGGTGGATGTAAGGCCAGAGCCCAGGGTTGTAGGCCACTCCTCATGGGCCCTGACACCTGGGGGTGGACTCAGTCCGGGCACAGACCCAAGGTCCTCCTGATAAGAACCAGCCCCAGAACAGCAGGGTCGGGATCACAGGCACCGTACACCGTACACAAGGGCCAGTTCTGGGCCTAACTGGGAAGTTAAAGGGCCTGCCCATCGCCTTTCTTCCCCTGTCCCCTCTCGGGGCTAACGGCTCCCCGGGGCTGGAACCCCTCTCCATCCTGACTGGCAGTGTGTCCTTGGTAAAGTTACCTGAGACTTCTAAGCCTCAGTTTCCTCATCTATAAAATGGGAACCACAGTGCCTACATCCCAGGGCAGCTGTGTGGACAAGTGCGGGGGGGGGTAGTATAAAGTGATTGGTACAGTGCATAGCACATAGCAGACACTAAGTAAATGTTGGTCTCTTTCCCTCTTTCCTTCACTCCCTCAACGCTCTGAGCTGTCTGCCTGCAGGCTTTCTCCAAGGCACGAAGGAAGCCACACTTTCCCTTGTACCTGAAGGAGGTGGTGTGGACAGGGGAAAAGACACATGACCCAGCAAGTCCCAGCTCTGCCACCTACCAACCTATCTTGAGGATCTGTTTCTTCATCCGTCAAGCGCTTCCTAGCTTCTACCCTGCATGATCAAATGGATGCTATCTATAAAAAGACCTCTGTAAACTCTAAAGTGCTGTGCAAAGGTCAAGGGTGAAAAACAGTAACACCGTCATAAACAGAGCCTCCATAATATGCCAGGCCGATTCAAACAAAGCACTTTATATGTATTTTCCCATTTGATTTTTATAACCTAAAGGAGGCATAGTTCCCATTGTACGGATGAGAGACGAAGCCCAGAGAGGTTACGTAATTGACCCAAGATCACACAGTAAGAGGACGAGGCAGCATTTGAACCCAGAGGTCCTAGCCCATCTTGTGCTCTTACCTGGACGATTCCCCCGCTTTGGTTCCTAGTGCTTGCCCAGCTCCTGGCTGTGTCTTTAGGTGCTGGGAAAGGGTATCCCTGAGTTCTAGTCTGGCTACCACAGACAAATTTGCCTTTTAAGCTCCTGCTTCTGAAGTGAAAGCCTGTGTCCCCTTTAATGGCACTTGGGTAGCATAAAGCAGGCAGGGGCTTTGCTGTCCTGACATACAGAGCGGCAAACCCTGTTCCGATCCTCAGGGATACAAGCAGGAGGCTGTGTTACTAAGGGGGCTACTTAGGGGCCCTGCCCAGGAGCTGCTGGGGGCCTAGAAGGAATGGTGGGTGGGTTTCACCCAGCAGCAGCTGTGCCCCCTGGGTGGGAAAGAAAGGAAAGGTCTCCTTTCATCTAAAAGACACAATTGCCGCCCTGGCCAGGTAGCTCAGTTGGTCAGAGCATTGTCCCAAAAGGCCAAGGTTACAGGTTTGGTCCCCGGTCAGGGCACATAGAAGAATCAACCAATGAATGCATAAATAAGTGGGACAACAAATTAATGTTTCTCTCTCTCTCAAATCAATTAAAATATTTAGAAAATAATTTTAAATTAAAAGACACAGTTGCCTGAAATTCATAACCGTCAAATTAGAATCTTTTGTTATCTTTTAGAGAACTTTCCCACCGGAAGGTTTCTGACCCTTTGAGATGTGTCCCCTTTTAAGGCATCTTCTTCTATTTTACCCACTTTTAAAATTTTTATTGTATTTTACCTACTTTTGAGTATCTTGAGGGTTGGTTGTTCTGTTTTTAAACTTTATATGTATTTGTCGAATTAAGTTCTCTTATCGATGGATTAATTGACTGGCTTTTCATGATCTAACCTCTCCCACCATTTGGGGCCCCAGGATGGGGTCAGCGAGAGAGGAAGATGGCCAAGATATCGGCTGCTAAGGGGTTCAAGCCAGGACCTCTATATGTGACAGCACGGAGCAACGTGATTTCACGCAGAGGACGACCCCAACAGGCAGATGTTAATTCAACACACATTATCTAGGGATATAGCTGCCAACAAGGCAGACATGGGATTCTAATCTAAGCATAAAACCATCAGCACCAAGGTCAGCTAGAGGCTTATCCATTTTCAGGAGGCCAAGGAAGACTGCTGCCTTCAATGAGTAACTCTCAGATAAACTGTTATGACTTTTATCTGCTCACAGCCTTAAAGTCTAACCTCGTGTGCTCAGCCTTGATTCCTTTCACTCACAACTTGCAAAAAAGCAGTCAAAACTAGTCAACAACTAAGTTGCGGCTGGAAGTCACAAAAGCAAAGACCACGCTGCTAGTTTTTGTGCACCTACTATGTGCACACATGCCATGCTAACACTCTACATGTGTGCTCTCTAGTTCTCCAGACTCTGCAGTTTGGGTATTATTAGTCCTGCTTTACAGATGAAGAAACGGAGGCTCAGAGGTAAGTAACTTAGGCACACAGTGATGGGACAGGCATTCTAGCCCACTTTCACATACTCCAAAGCCTGTCTTCCCCTCAGCCAAGCTCCTCCGTTGACTGGCCTGGCCAGGTAGGTCCTGCTGACGGCCCTCCTGTAGCCCACTCATTGGTCCCCCTGCAGGGTGCTTACCGAGGAGGTGCTTGATGATGGCTTGGTTGTGTTCCCAGAGGTGGCTGAATGTCCCCCAGCGCGAGTGGCCATCAGGCACGGGGTTGGTTTTGATCCAGCCGCCGCAGGCATAGGTGAAGAAGTCCTGGCAGGGGTCCACCCTGGGGTCCATGGAACTCAAGATGGAGCTGGTCACTGAGACGCAGCCCTGGCTGAGGCACACCGGGGGCGTTCCTGGCAGGAGACAAGGACAGGAGGCTGGTGAAGGGCGGGCAGGGAGGAGGCTACAGGAGTACCGTGCAGTGACCAGGGGCCCTGGTGCACCATGCCCCACTCTGGTCCTGACCACACAGATGAGGAGTTGCATGGTCCCTAGACCCCTCCAGAGAAATTATCTCAGTAGGTTCTCTATTTCTTGGCTTATAAAATAAGACTTCTGTTTAGCTGCCTAAAATCCTTTCTATAGCTTAAAAGTACCCCGAAACAAGTCTTTCCCTCTACAAATATTTATTGACTTTTTAAAACTATATATATTTTATTAATTTTACAGAGAAGGGAGAGGTATAGAGAGTTAGAAACATCCATCAGCTGCCTCCTGCACACCCCCCTCACTGGGGATGTGCCCACAACCAAGGTACATGCCTTTGACCGGAATCGAACCTGGGACCCTTCAGTCCACAGGCTGACGTTCTATCCACTGAGCCAAACCGGTCAGGGCTCATTGACTTTTTATTGTTCCCTGGTGTTCAACAAATTCATTCACTCATTCAATGTTCAATAAGATAATTACTGAGTATCTTTCAGGTTTTTGCTGCGCGCAGTGTGTGTGTGTGTGATATGAAAGGTGTAACCCTTTCCTTCAAGAGCTAATAAGTTAGTTGGGGATACACATCATAAAGGAAAAGTCAAAAGACAACAATAGGAGAAACATCTGTCATTCATTCTACAAACATAAGCTGAGTGTATTTAGTATGTGCCACACGGGTGGTACAGACTCTATGGTGCCAGGACTCAGGAAGAAGAAAGACTTTCAAGAATAGAAGGAACTATAAAAAAATCATCCCCACTAAACACGAGGCAGGAGGGTGACCTCATCGAATCCTCAAAAGAACCAAAACCGAAACAACCCTGAGGTCATTTTGCTTACGGCCATTTTCGCAGAGGAAACTGAGGCACAGAGAGGCTCAGCACCCTGCTTAGTGGCCAACGGGATCTGAAGCCCACCCTCTCTGTCTGCTCTGGGCCTAGAAGGGAGCTCTCCTGGTGAGGACCCCCTGGGGCAGCCCAACCTGTCAGGTGTGGCCTAAGGAGGGACAGCAGTTGGTGCAGATGGGCAGTGGGCAGGGCTGCAAATCCTACAGGTGCCCCCAAAACACAATGAGCAGAGAAGTCAGCTTCCTCTGAGCTGGTTTTCACAAACTCAGGCAGAGGTGTGAGGGCTGTCCGCAGGCCAAGGGCAAGAGGAAGGGGCCGGATCCCTGCCTCAGGTTCGATCAGCGGGCTCTGGCGAAGGAACTGAAGTGTGGGCGGCCTCAGCTGTGGCCCAGCCCGAGGAAGCGAGATGAACCTGACTGCAGGAGCCAGAGGCCGGAGCTCCAGGCTGGTGACTAAAAACAGGCTCAGCGGAATCGTCTGTTGACACAGCTGTGCCGGCGACAAGGGGGACTGTTTCCTGAACACAGGTCTGCACCGGGTACTTCACGCACATTCATGATCTCATGGAGGCCTCAGGACAAGCCTCAGATACAGGC